CAGTACTATAAAGGGCTGGTTATACCCCCACAGCAGTGTGTCGCAGTTAGCTTGTCGCAGGTATGACGCAGATATTTTTGATTTATGACTAATTTTGAGGTGTGGTCTGCGCTGTGTTATTCCACAGAGCAAAAGGGACAATCAGGAACTAGCTGTGGGTCTAGATACGGCCGAGGCGGTGAGTAAATAGAAAAACGCAAGTTTGTGAGACAATGGAGGGACATGAGGGCGAAAAAGAGCGGGGATCCAGGAGGGAAAAAGGTTGCCAGCGTTCTCGCACACCTCGCTCTTCTAGCTGGTCCAACTTTATGATTTGTTTTCCACAATGGTGTTCATACAAACAGAAGATAAAGTACCAAACAGGAAATAAGCATAGAGTAGAGCAGATGTAGATTTGACCAATCAGAGGCCTCCTGTCTGCGGACGCCTACAATTTTGAGGAATGGCAGCAGAGTGTCTGTGGAAGGGGCGGGGACACTGAGTATATTTAAGGGACCGTTGTACGGTCACACTCTACAAAAAATCTGTTTGGCATTGATGGAGAAAATTTGGCAAGTTTATGTGTCCAACATAAATCTACTCAACTCTGATGCTAAACCCACATGTGTTTTTCTCACAAATATTGCGTCATTTAAAGGTGAAAAAAACAGACTCTCCTGTTTATAATTACAAAGAAGCATTGTTTGAATGAAGAAATAAAATGACTGATCATAAATATCCTCAGTTTTTGAGGCCAGTCTATATATGGACAGGACATGGTTACAAGTGGCTGTGTGAAAGTGGTTTCAAATGAAGGCCCCAATTGAGGCTTTTTAGATTTTTAACCAAACGGCCTCAGAGGATTTGAGAACAACGACTGCGTGAAAACATTCAGGATTTATTGCCCACACCCTCCCTCTCGCTCCCTGGTGGTGACCTCAGCTTGCCACTTCAGCACTACAGAGAAACTGGAGGATGCAGTGAGCTAACTTATCTAATGACACAGGAATGCTGGCTGGCAGCTTCTATCCTCCAGAGCATTTTATTAGCTTAGGAAACCTCTCTCTTGCTCACCCCACTTTCTCTCCCCTCCTTCACCCTCGCCGTCATTTCCTCTCTTCAATGGTATAACCATCCCCGTCTCCCCCCCACCTCCCGTCTCCCACACACACAATTCACATTTCAGAACTCATTTTTCTCTTGCTGCCTCTGGCATAAAGCGCGAGGAGCATAAGGGATTTATATATGTTTACAGCAACCTGCTGACATTTGGCTGCATGTCTCTGCCTTGAAATCTATGGCTGCAAAACATGAGCACCTGGTCAAGGCTATAACAAACAGCAAATGTGTGTTTGTGTGTGTGTGTGTGAGAGAGTGCGGGGTACTGGAGAGGTCCTCGAGTTCGGATTTCTGTCACATTAAAAGAACCCAGGCCCATTTTCTAAAACGCCTTCGAGAGTCCGCCCCCTAAGCTCTTGAAACACTCAAACACAAAATGGCTCTGGCAGCTGGTCGAGGCAGGGATGTAAATCAAGGCAGAGCACATGAATGACTACCCTTTCATGATGTGCAGGATATAGCCTTCCCTTTGCTCTCCAGAGAGAGGGGGTTAGAAATGATACCACGAATTGTCGAGTCTTAATGATGTTAAATTAGCCCTTTAGATTTTATGCAGTCGTTTATGCAGCCGGGCACAATGGAGAAGAGCCACGAATGAGACTCAAATGTTTTTGTGTGATTTCTAATACATTTATCCTTGCCTGGAGTTAAAGGAGAGAATTAATACACCCAATTTGTTTGCAATCCTCTTAACAAAAAGAAAAACAGGCAATCTGTAAAAAACAATTGCATCTTATCTTACAATAACCAGTTATAAAATGTATACATTATGCCACCTTTATCTCTATTTTAAAGACGTAAAAATAAACATTTACTCTAGCATCCTGCATTTTCTAATTCCCCCCAAACATTGAGAACCTTTGAGTACCAATAATCTACCCCACTTTAAAACAATTATCCATATTCACTGTCATAATATGCAAATACAGCTTTTTGTTTGTGATTTACACCCTCCCCATATAAGGCTAGACAATATGGCCAAAGGTTATATAAACATTTTTCTTAATTTTAGTCGATAGGATTTAATTCTTATAACAATCTACAAAAATAAAAGCCTTAGAAAGACTGCTAAGAATGACTTCAGCCATATCCTGTTTAAACTTATGATAATCATTTTGCCACATTTATGAAATACTTCTGTCATAGCATTTTACAAAAATGTACTTTAAAAAGAAACCTGATAAAAGTAAACCTCACTCAGTAAAAAATGCTTTAGTGACAGAGTATAATGTATATTGGAATATCAGAAATGTGTCGAAAAGTCAATTATTGTATTTTTGTCCACCCCTAACTCCGAACTATACTTATACTTTTCCAATTGTACTGTCCGGCACTAAATACTGATTCCCTGAATTAAGCTTATGCCACTTTTTCATAGGCAACAATTCTGTCAGTTTGGATTCAGTCACTTTCAATTACAATGTAGTAGTATCTCAGTGAGGGCTGAAGCTTTAATAGCAAAGCAGTATTACAGTTTAGCCTAGTAAACTAGCCCCACCCTCCAGCGGCCAAAATCATTTTTACCTGCGAGTGGTCTAGCCTCGATCAATGCCCCAGACCCTAGAACTGGCAGACCAATCACAATGCAGGAATGTGTTTTGAATTTTTGGATTTAAAGCTGGGCGGGGTTTTGAGGGCGGGACGACTAAGCTGTGCGACGTTGGAGAAAGCACAACAAGGTAGATGGCAACAGCTATTGAACAGTTCTCGTTTGACTCAGCTTTGGAATCAGTTTTGGAAGGATTAGACTTGGGGTTTTTTGTTGAAACGTTAGCAGGAAGAGGCTCTATGCTAATTCATTTTTAAGGACATATTTGCCGTTTTAACTTCAGGCTCTTTGTTTACACTCCCCCACCAGCTTTCTGTCGCGCTTCCTACGTCACAGTCAGTTGCGCTCATTGGTCAGAGCGTTGGCCAATAGGCACAGATATGGGTTATTCTCATCAACAATCTTCAGATGTCTCATTCAATCGGGGCCACACTAAATTACACTTTTAATCTGGTTTATCAGGCTAATTATAATTGGCAGATAGCTGCCTGCTCTTGACAGATTTAAAGAAGAATGCCAAGGAAGGCTAATATATAACAAGGCAAAATCATTCGTCATCTTTACTGTCGACAGGCAGCAGCCATGTCCCGAATTCCTCGTTTTCCAGCCACTTTTGATGAAATTTGTTGAGTTTAATTTTCCCATTCTCTAGCTTTCTAATGATACCGCCCCCCCTAATCAACTGGTGACAGCGAGTCCTGTGAAGCTGCGTTTTAG